TGAGTGAGTGACTGAGTGAGTGAGTGACTGAGTGAGTGACTGAGTGAGTGAGTGAGTGAATGAGTGAGTGAATGAGTGAGTGACTGAGTGAGTGAGTGAATGAGTGACTGAGTGAATGAGTGAGTGAGTGAATGAGTGACTGAGTGAGTGACTGAGTGAGTGTGTGACTGAGTTACTGATTGATTGATTGAGTGAGTGAGTGAGTGAATGAGTGAGTGAGTGAATGGGTGACTGAGTGAGTGAGTGAGGAGTGAGGCCGGGCAGGGAGCCAGAGCCCTCCGAAGGCCCGTCAGGGCACCCGATGGTGAATGGCGTCTCTCTTCTTCCCCCGCAGCTGCTGAACTCCCTGTCTGTGGACCCTGACGCCAAGTGCAGGTATGGCCTGTACTTCCGTGACGGCCGGCGCAAGGTGGACTACATCCTGGTGTACCATCACAAGAGGCCCTCGGGCAGCCGGACCCTGGCCAGGAGGGTGCAGCACAGCGACACCCCCTTTGGGGCTCGCAGCCTCAAGCAGGACCACCCCCTGCCGGGCAAGGGGGCACCGCTGGACGCGGGCGCGGCCGAGCCCCCCATGGACTACCACGAGGACGACAAGCGTCTCCGCAGGGAGGAGTACGAGGGCAACCTCCTGGAGGCCGGCCTGGAGCTGGAGCGGGACGAGGACGTAACTATCTCCCTGCGCGCCGGCCTGTGGGGTGGGCTGCGTGGGGGGCTCCGGGCGGCTGCTTTCCTATTCAGAAGGTGTGAGGCTGGTATCTTGTTTTAGCTTTAAGCTGTCCTTAAAGAAGACCAGGAGGTCTTCTAGGGGAGCAGTGTGTGGCTTGGCACCCTGGTGACTGAGGAGCAGTGAATACCTCCTTCAGGAGTGACACCGCCCTTGTTCAGGTGGGGTAGAAATTGCTTTTGAACAGCGCTGGGGACGCCCCGACCCGCTCCTCCGGCCACAGCTGCTCTGGGAGAGGGGCTGGCCTTCACAGCCACAACCTTAGGGTCACAGCGTTTCCTGCTTCTGGTCAGCTCCTTTCCTGGGAAGATTTGCCCGATCAGGGGGAGGGAGGACGAAGCTCTCCTGGGAGTCTTCCTGGATGGCATCGGCCCCTCTCTGGTCCTCAGTTTCCCGTCTGTAGAGAGAGGAGTGGGTCCGGCTGAGCGCTGGGCATCCCTGGTGCTCGGAAGTCCCTAGCTCTGTAACACGGTGTTCTGGAGCCCGCTCCCTAGCAAAGCCTGTGAATCTTCCTAGGAGAAGGATTTCGAGAGAGAGCAAAAGGTCGGCCCACCTCGTGCGCCTGGCTGCTGGGAGGCCGAGGGTGCAGCTGTGTGCAGAGAGTGACTTTAGCTGCCCTGGTACAGCCGTGCTTCCTGCAGCAGCCCTGGGGCTGCCGTGTGCTCCACGGCTGTCGCCTTAACCTCCCTGTGCACGGGAGCCCTTCCTCCCAGGAATGTTGGGGGAAGGGCCCCAACCTGCAGAGCCATCACTGTGCAGATTAACCGAGAATCAGCAAAGTCTCTGAAACACATGGAAAGCAGGAAAAGTCATCGGCAAGTTAACTTAGGATGCCACGGCGTCACCTGCGAATGCCAAAAATAAAAGGTGGCGTTGGTTTGATATTTCATCCACAGGCACCGCCGTGTCCTTACGTCACAAATGCTTTTGGTCCAGCGATAAGAATATCTTTGGTGTATTTAGACCAAAACGCAGCTTAATTAGGGAACCTCTGTTTTTCAACAAGTAGATATCACTTTCCCTGAAAACGATCCAACATGCTCCGTGGGGCCTCCCTGGACCCTGAGCTAGTGAGTCAAGAGGTCTTGTTTAACCTGGGGCATCTGTCTGGGTCTCCTTTCACTTTCTCCCGGCAGGAGATTGTGAGTCCTGCCACCCAGATGGGTGTCTTTGGAGTTTCAAGGCTGTGGCAGGGGCCTTCCAAATTCTGATGTTCAGGAAGCAAGAATTTGATCCTGACAAGGATTCAGAGACTTTCTCCCTGGCTTTGGAGGCAGCAGCTGGGGAACAGGGAATTGCAAGGGAACCGTGTCCTGCCCTGCTTTGTCTTAGAGAGGCGAGCGGTTGATTCCTGCTAGGTTTGCGCGTGGTCTCTCCCGCCAGCCCTGTGGCTTTCAGAACAATACAGCTACTATCCAGGGTTCGTTTCAGCATGTCAACTTACAACTGAAGGAAGGAATCGGCTCCATCAGGGGCACAAGAGACCAGCGAAGCTTGGGGGCCGGGGCCGCTCTCTGGGAGGTGACGCTGAGGGAGCTGGGTTTTGAGCTCCGTGGTCCTTGCGTCTCATCTGTTCCCCAAGGGGCTGACGCTCCAGCCCCGCCCTTCCTTCTGACTACAACTCTGAGGTCTTATGCTCCACAGAGCCTTCTGGGGTCTGGTCATTCTGACTGACTTATGCCAGATCCCAGACTTCCCACTTCATACTGGTGGAAAGGCTGGGCCTCAGTCTCCCCATTTGTAAAATGGAGATAGCAAGAGTATTTGCATCACTTAGTGATCATAAGTAACCTTTGCAAAGTGCTTAATTCAGAGTCTGGCCTGTGGCAAGTTCCTGGCTGATATTGTATCATGTATTACAGCAGCAGTTAGGGCGAGAAAAGACCCTTTCTTGTTAAATACGATCTCATAAATATCTTTTTAAACATTTCATCTTCTTTATCATGACTTTGAAATAAAAAACTAAACATAAGGACATTGGTTGTTGTCACCAAAATGATCTACTTTTTACCAGTGAAATGACCCCAACATTTCATCGGTAATTTGGCTCGAGAGCTAAAAGAGGCTTTTCAGCGGTTGACCTGACCATGTCTAAGATGAAACCACGATTGCAGGGTAGACGCGTTCGCTCACGTTTTCAAAGGACTGAAGTTGAGATGTTCTCACATCCCTGCTGGGGCCTCTCAAATCATAAACTGCTTTATGAGGGCTTCCTGGAAACCCCAGAGCTCTCATCTGAGCTGCACCAGCCCCCAGGGCTGTTGGAAGGAGCCATAGTTTGGGCGGCCTGTTGCTTTCCCTGCTCTCCTGGAGACCGGCAGAGCCAGATCTACTAAAAGGTTGCTTGGGCTCCTGCAGCGTCTGAGGTGTGTGCCAGCCCCTGCCAGCATGCCTGGCAGACAGAGCTGCGGCAGTGTTCATTTCAGGGGGAAGAGGCACTCTTGGGAATGAACCTTTCCCAGAGGTGTGCTCAGATTACAAGGAGCAAAGGGTTTGCAATTTTGGAAACAAGATTGCCTCCAAGAGAGCCCAGTTGCACAATCTTACCCAATTGGAAGCAAAATTCAGGGCTTATGTGAGCTTTCCTGGGGAGAAAGATCTGCAGTCGATCAGATACTCACGAGCTCTATGAAACCCTCCCCCAGAATGAGGACTAGTTGCTTTGAAGCGGGTGATATTTAACAGCAACCCCCGCCTCTACCTGGCCAGTGGCACCACCCACTCCCCACCCGAGTTGCGAAAACAAGCCAGGAATGTCCCCACACATTGCCAGTGTTCGTGGGGGCAAAACTGCCCCCAGTTGAGAATCCTGCTCTGAAGGCTGGATGCGGAGGTGGAGGCAGAAGCGGACCTGGAGGGAGAGACAGGGGGACAGATGAGCAAGAGTGTCCCCTGGGGGCTGCCAGCCACCTCCAGGACTGTGTGCTGTGGCCAGGACAGGCAGCCTCTTGGAGGTTGCCGGCTGTGCAGGTGTGACCTGGCCTTTGTTCCTGGGGTGCCCGTGGGAGTGACACTCTGTGTCTCTCCTGGACAAAGTGTGCTGTGAGCCCCACACAGCTGTGAGCAGCCCCCAGCCCCCGTGTGTGCATCCTCACCGAGTCGGAAGGTTCATTGTGTTGAGACGTCTCAGGGCGACCTGGAAGACGGGCCTGGCTAAGTGCACAATGGGGCCAGTTCTTGGAGACCTGGTAACAGCTGTCATGCCGTGCACCTGCCATAGCAAAGGGCCACAGGCTGGGGGCTTAAAATCACACAAATGGATGCTGTCATAGCAGGTTCACAATCAAGGTGCCAGCAGGGCCGTGCTCCCTCTGAAGCCTCCAGGGGAGGACCCCTCCTGCCTCTCCCAGCTCCTGGGTCTCCAGGTGTTCTTGGTTAGTGGCTGCATCCCTCTAATGTCAGCCACTGTGGTCACTCGGCCTTCTCTGTTGTGTGTCTCTGTGTGTCCCCTTCTTGTAAGGACACCAGTCATGCTACTTAGGGCCCACCCCTGTGCCTTTATCTGAACTCCATTGCATCTGCAAAGCCCCTGTTTCCAAGTGCAATTCACATCGATAGGCTCCAGGAGTTAGGACTTGATCATGTCTTTGTAAGGGACGCCTTTCAGCCCATTCCAATAGCTGAGATGCTGCACGCAGCGGGTAATCCCGGAGTGGGCTGCCTTGGAGGGGGCAGACTGGAGCTGGAAGGTAGCAGCATGGGGCAGGGTCATGGCCAGGGCGGGCCGGATGATCTGAGAGAGTGACAGGCTCCAGCCTTGTCCTGGTCCACCTCGCTGCAGGGTCCAGGAGGCATGCAGGAACCCCCGCGGTTGTCAAAATGCAGGGTCCGGCTCAGCTGATCTGGGGGACCCAGCTCCTGGGGCGGCGGAGGCGCCGGTCCTGCCCACACCGTGCTTTGAGGTGTGAGGAGTGTGGGAAGGGCCTTTGGCGCAAACTAGGAGAGGCCTCCTGAGAGCAAGACCCCAGCGTCCACACGAGCCTTGGTGCCCCGTGTGACACCCCGGAGCCTGCGCCACTCCAGTGAACCAAGAGCCAGAGGAGGACGAAGCCATGTCCCAGAGAGACCTGGGGGTGGGTCAAGAAGGCAGGGGTGCTTAGATCACAGGGCAGCCTTCAACGTGGGTTTACAAGAGGGGCTCAGAGATCCCAGGACGGCTCCGCAGGGCAGGAAAGGGCAGGAAAGGGCAGGAAGAGAGACGCCCCCGAGGCAGGGGCCAGCACTTCAGGATCTCTCCCCTCTCCCTCCCTCTCGCTCCCTCTCTCCCCGATTGTCTCTCTCACCCTGTCTCCCTCACTTCATATCTCTCCTCCTCCTCGCCTCTTGTTCATCTCTGCCTCTCTCTCTGTCTCTCTCTCCCTCTGTCTCTGTCCTCCTTTCTCTTTTCCTCTAAGTCTCTCTCCCTTCTCTCTCTCTCCTTTCTTCCCCTCTCTGTCTCTCTCTCTTCCTGCCTCCCTCTTTTTCAGTCTACCCCTCCCTCACTTTCTCTCTCTCTCCCTCTCTCTGTCTCTTTTCCTCTCCCTCCCCCTCTGTCTCTCCATCTCTTTTCCTCTCCCTCCCCCCTCCCTCTCCATCTCTTTTCCTCTCCCTCCCCCCTC